TGTGCGTGTGTGTATACATATGCATGTTTACACACACACGCACACACACACGCGCACACACACAAACACAAACACATCAGATGAAAGGCTTCAGAATAGAGATAGTGAATTGAGCGCACACATTTAAAGTTTTCTCCCTCTCAAAATCCCACAGAAATGAGCACTAAGATTTTACTTGGAAAAATCTTTATGCAGAAGGACAAAATAATGAGAAAAATAGTAAACCGTATTTAGAAAGGTAGGAAACAGATAGTCAGGTGGTTAGAGGATTCAGAGAGCACTGAATCTTCAGCCAGCAAGGGACAACCAAGAAGCAACAACATTTACAGCTGCCAGTCCCCCTCCCCTACCCCATAAACCTTGGTCAATGGCACACTTGATCTATGAAGGTTGGGCTAAATCACAATAGGTGACACCCAGGTATGTTGGCACACATATGTTATCCCAGTATTCAAGATGGAGACTGGAGGATCATGTCTGAGGCCAGGATGGGCTGCCTAGTAAGTTCCACATCAGCTTAGGCTACATCCAGAGACCTTGTCCCCGAGACAAAATACAACACACACACACACACACACACACACACACACACACACACACTCATACACACACCTTGAGAAAAGCACATGGCTTGACTGTCTGAAGAACACCGAAGCTTTATTTTTTGCAGAGATTTTAAACAGAAGGTCTCTGAATGAACATGAGTGAGAATTAAGGTACCAAGCTGAATAAATGTTGGAGATAATGGGAAATGGATGTGCATACAACTTCTAGAACTTCCCTTCCCATTCATCACCAAAGAGACAGAGAGCAAGATGTTCATGCTACAGAATGATGATTTGAATAATATTTTCTGTGAAACATGACTGTTTCAAAAGATAAGTATTGTAGACTGACTCTAGGGTCTTTGAACATGGTACACTTGCTAAATTGCACAGGCTGGCCTTGAACTTGTAACCTTCCTTTCTCAGCCTCTAGAATAGCTGGGATTATAGGTCTGAAACACTAGGTCTGTCTCCAAAAGATAAGACTTTCAGGCTGTATTCCAGAACATCTATTGCTTAATCTCACCTTAATAAGCTCTGTACATTAATTTTCAGTGTCCCCTTCTTACATACAAGGCGATCAAATATCTAATCTAAAAGAAGATAAAGGGACAAATCACAAATGAGCAATCAAGTATGAGTTGAAAAAATAGTAAATTGGAAAAAGAACACTTCATATCTATCCTTGATGCCCTTTGAGAAATGATATGTATAGGTAGTGTCTTAGCCTGTTTTGTGTACTTCCTAATACTAAAGTACTTCCTAATACTAAAGTACTAAGTTACTTCAAAAAGATAGAGATAGATTTATTATTACTCATATTTCCATTATAAAACTTCCTGGTATTCTGGATACCATTATCCCAAAAGCAAAGGTGTAATTTTTTTAATGCTCCATATGGATGAAACAGCTGAAATGAAAAGGATAAAGCTGTCTCAGAGGATGTGATACTGGTAAAATGATGCACAGTAAGGAAACATTCCATAGAATTAAAAGCACAAAAGATGAATGATTAAAAACTGACCCAAACTTAGTACCGTAATTTCCAAAACATAGTAAAGAAACACATTCAAAGTTATATCAAGAAAGAGCAGCAAGTCTGTGCCAAAAAAGAAATCATAATATTTTTCAATGTTTTAAAGTACAGCATACCAACTAAATATTAGTTTAAGAATTCTATTTCCCTGTGCATTTGTAATTGATACCATAAGAATTTTTAGTAATAAGAAAAAATGTTTCCTGTTAAAACCATTTTTCATGGTCTCAGCTTGCATGATCATTTATACATGCCTCCTTCACCATACCAGTTTGAAGGCTGATTATATTGTATGCATGAGTAAAAATAAGTTCTGGGGATGACGGTGCCTGCCTGTAATCCCCACTACGCAGCAGGCTAAAGTGGAAAGATTGCTTTGGTTCAAGGTCACCATGGGCTACATGATTTTGAGGCAGTATCGGCCACACAGTGAGATCCTGTCATAATGGCAGCCAACAACAAACAACACTGAATAGCTACAAGAAATACAGGAAATGTGAAAAGTCCTTTAATAGTGGGATCTAAATATCAAGTTGGAGAAGTGATCTTGAAAGCTGAATAAAATGTCAAAAAAGGAGAATTAAAATATAAAATTAGAAATGTTAGTCTTGGGATGCAACATAACAAGATGCCAAGAGAGACTGCAAATCAATCAAACAAAACAAACGGAATAAAATCATCACAAAATAACTCATTTGAAGTTTTTAGGATAGAAGTGTGAAATAAATGTGCATGATTGGTGATGTGGTGGCTCCTAACTGAGGACTTAAAAGAAAAGTTGGGGGCATAAATTTTGTCCTTAAAAAAAAAACAACACTGTATATTCTATATAAAGGATCAAAAATTAAAATGAAACATTCTTCATAGCAAGACTAAAAGCTGAAGGCAAAGTGAAAATGTCTTTAAATCCCTGAGAGAAATGACTGGCTGCTTAAATTCCTATACCCATCTAAATTATTTCTGAGTTCAAAGACAATAGTTTTGGGGGTTTATGAAACGCCTTTAAATCTTTTATTACAATAATTTTTATTGTGAAACTGTTGGAAGGTGTGCCTTGTGCCCTGTAGAGATCATACACAAGGGGGGGGGAGGGGCAGACAGACAGAGAGATGGGGAGAGATAATTCGAATATCCAGAAAAGTGGGATCCAACAAAATAAAAAACATGTCAAGACATCTCTTCTTAGAATGGTTTGGGGTAATATTTCAAAATACAGACTACATAGCAGTTGTGTTCTACCAGTCCATATTGGAACAGAGCAAAACTTTCCAGGAGAAGACGTTTCAGTCAGATAGGACCTGTATTTGGTATGTTGAGAAAAGATTTGTACAATTGGGAGAGTATACTAAGATTATTAGCAGTAACTATATGTATAGCTGAGTAACAAAGAGAAATAAATGATTGACTAAGAAAAGTTTCCATAAAGCAGTTGTAATTCTCCTCTGAGTAGTTTTTCTACAGCTGCAGCAGTGCAAATACTCACACAGACAGAAGGTACACCAGTAAAGAAAGGCAGCTTTCCAAATCTCTCTGGCAACCTCAGCTAGGGCTCTGTGCCCACCTCTGCTCTTCCTTGCTGGCATTTGGTCTGGCTTGAGCTTGTGCAGGTCTTCTGCACACTGTCACAAACCGTGAGTTTGTGTGTGCAGCTACCCTCCTACATGGAAAACACTGTGCCCTGGAAGTTAGCCCTAGCTGTTAGCAATCTTTCTACCTCCTCTTCTGAGCAAATCCCTGAGCCATAAGGCCATTATAGTTTGCTCTGGGGAGAGGGCTTAGTTTCCACAGCTTATCTTGAGAGAGAAGAATTTTGTTTTTTTCTAACTCTCTTGGGAGGAGAATTGAGCCAGAAAGTCTGACTTTGCCTCTGGAGTCTGTTCTCTTTAGCTGGAAATACAGTCATGTGTCAATCATCTGGGTGAATTCTTGAATATAAGGTGTTAGGCAGTGTTTTGTGGATGTCATGGTGTGAATACTTATAAATGGTGTATCCTACTCGTACATAGTACTGAGCACTAAATCCAAATCTAACATACCTGTAAGTGTGTGTGTAAACATATGCAGCAACAGGCAGATGATATAAAGAAGAAATAAAAAATTGGTGTGTCTGTTTAGAACACTTACTTGGAAGGAAACACAAAGAACTAGACACCACTGCTGATGTGCCATAGAGAGAACTGTGGGTAGATATAAAGGCCTTGGCATTGCCATCCACAACTGTAGGTTCAAGAACATCATAAGCACTTTGGCTATGCAATATTTATTCTTTTGTCAGTAATAAAATAACTAATTTGTTGTAATTTTTACTTCATAAACTTTTAAGGTTGTTCAGCCTTTTGAGTTTTATAGTAATATTTAGCTTAAACTACAAATGAATCATACAGCTACACAAAATACTTTCTGTTTTTCCTTCTCCTCTCCTCTTCTCCCTCCCTCTCTCCCTCCCTTTCTTCCTTTCTTCCTTTTCATGCTTGAGATTGGAGCTAGAACCTCAACCATGATTTTCAAAAATGTACTGCCATTGAACTATATCTCCCCTATGCTGTTTTTACTTTTTAATTTTGAAATAGGGTCTCAGGAGACTGCTGGTGTTGGCCTTGAATGATGTCTGTAAACCAAGCAGGCATTGAACTTGCAATGTCTTGCCTCACCCTTCTATACAATCGGGATTACAAGTCTGTATCTACATCCAAACCTGCCTGTTTCCTCTGTTCATAACATTGTGGTATAAGATTTTTGTTATATTTTTATTGACTTTTTACTTTTTGTTAGAAACTAAGACATACCTAAATACACATTGATGTAAGCCTGCATGTGCTAGATTTTCCATTCCATCACTGCCATCTCTTCACTTGAAGGTCTCAGAGACAATGTGCACATGGAGCTGTTATCCCCAGTGATGAGGATGCTTCTTTACCAACACCTCCAGAAGCTGTCTGAGGAGGTGTAACTTTTCAGAAATATGTCCTTGGTGACTGACTTCATTTCTCTCTCCTTTCCTTTCTTTGCCATAGACTGGCTTGTAAGCAGAAAATAAAACATGCACCTTCTCTATTGATAGAAAAGTTTTTGATGCTGAGGGTACATGTTTTAAACTTTTTAGAGAATCCATTGAGGCCTTCTAAAGCTTTGGCTGAAGCAGTTACTGAGTTTTTTTTGAGTAGCACTCTGTTCAGTTATCCCGTCCCTTGCTTCTTCTCCATCTGTATAGTCCCAAGGTGTGCCAATCACTCCTCATTGGTCAGCGCCTCTGAAACATCACTAGGAGCTACTTGGTAGCATTCT